AGGTATGTACCATCACATCCAGCTTTTTTTCCATTGAAATGGGGTTTCACAAACATTCTTACCTAGACTAGCCTGGAACTGGGATCCTCCCAATTTCAGCCTCCCACGTAGCTTGGGATGACAGGCACATGCTACCACACCCAGCTATTGGTTGAGATGGGGTCTCCTGAACTTTTTTGGTCTGGGCTCATCTTGAACATGATCCTTCCACTCTCACCCTTCCAAGTAGGCATGAGCCACCAGAGACTGGCTGCTCCTTTGTTTCTGAACCAATATATTCTTCTTTTTTCTTTCTTTTCTTTTCTTCCCTTTTTGAGCCAATGTATTCTTTTAATTGAGGAAATATACCATGTGGAATTCTTTGATTCAATGAATACACTCTATTCTAAAGAACAGAACCCTATCCTCACAGAGTATTGACTTTGAGTTGGTGTTTCAGGTGCCCTTCAACAGGAAATTCCACTACTGTCAAAATGTTGGCTTTCTGAGTGGTGTTACGTGATATGGATAACATCATCATAGGCACACTCCTGTATCTTCCTGTAGAATGAACCCCTTGGTTCAATGCAACATTGTGTACTATCACATGCAAATTGATCCAGTACCCTGCAAGATTTCAGATAGCAGTGTTTTTATTAGAATGGTGTTAGACTTTAAATGTATACTGATATTTAATCTTGCAACCTTGATGAACTCGTTCATTAGATCTAAAGTCCTTTAGTATATTCCTTAGGATTTTCATCAGCTTGAAGATTGAAAGGAGGGAAATGATACATCATCATTCTGTTGATCACTTGTGAACATTTTTTTTCACAGTATTGGGGTTTGAAATCAGGACCTCACACTTGCTGGGCAGGTACTCTACCACTTGAGCCACTCCACCTGCTCTGTTTTGTGTTGGGTATTTTCGAGATAAGGTCTCATGAACTATTTGCCCAGGGCTGGCTTCAAACGACAATCCTCCTGATCTCTGCCTCCCGAGTAGTTAGGATTACCAGCACCCAGCTTAAGAACATATTTTTGATTTTGCTTTTGGTGGTGCTGAGGATCAAATCCAGAGCCATGCACATGTTAAGCAAGTGCTCAACCACTGAGCTATACCCCCAGCCCACATGTTTATTCTTGATGGATGTCAAAATACTTTTCTAATTCAAGTTAACTGTTTTTATGAAGGCTGTAGCATTTCTTACCAGAAAAAATAACTTATACGAGCTGGACTTTTAATACGATAGATTTTCCTCGGTAAAGACAAAGCCGAGTAAATCAAGGTAGTCCTCTGTCTTTCTGTATCTCTCTTTCCCCTGCATTTCCCCCCTTTTTTCAGAGCAAAAAGTGTTAACAAAATGCTAGGTTGGGGTGAAAGAAATTCTGTGGAGATCTTAATGTAAAAACTTGAAAAAATTAGTCTAAAAGTTCAGAACTAACCATATAAAGGTGTAAGATTTGACATGACACTGACAAAATGTATTGAACTTCTATCTGCCACTTCATAGCTATTCACCCTTCTTGGTAACATCACCTCAGTTTTCCTCAGGAGGATCACCTATCCCTGACTTGTAATTCAGGCAGCTTTTGAGGGTGTTTAGGCATGTGACTCACATCTAGCAATTAGAAAAATTTCTCCCAGTGGCCACAGAAATTGGTTCAAGTATTAGCACAGGATGCAATTCAAGCCAATTGGAGACTCAATTTTTATTTTATTTATTTATTTATTTTTAATTGTTTTATTATTCATATGTGCATACAATGCTTGGGTCATTTCTCCCACCTGCCCCCTCCTTTACCACCCACTCCGCCCCCTCCCTCTCCCCTACACCCCCTCAATACCCGGAAGAAACTATTTTGCCCTTATCTCTAATTTTGTTGAACAGACAGTATAAGCAATTATTTTTCATTTGAAATTTCAGGGAAGAGAAGCTTCATTTTCAAGTGGACTTTAGCCTTTAAGGATGTAAGCATGGTATCGCTGGCAGCCATGTTGTCTATCTTGATTGTGGAACTGAGAACTAAGACAGCATGATGGAGAACAGAGAAGAGGAGAAAAATAAAAGACTGGTTCCTAGTAACATCTTTGAGTTTTTGGACCTAGCTATGCCTGAAACCAAATTCAGTCTCTTTTTTTTCCTTAAGTCAGTTTAATTTTTATGTTCATTTGTTAGTTTTGTCATTATCAAGCAAAAGAGTTAGAAATGAAGTACCAAAGAATACTAGATTAGAAAAGTAAGAACAGAAAATTTAAAAAGAAAATGAATACTAAAGAATACAGGGGGAAAAGTTTCTATAACAGTTAGCTCAATACTTTGACCCCATAGCCACAGAGCAGAGTATATATGAAGATAAACTTGGCCCAGTGATTAGAGTGGGTTTAGTAAATGATAATATACTGTATCAGGCTCCAAGGAGTCTGCTTACATAACCTCCACTTGATGGCTGTGCTAGGTATCTCCTGTATCACCCTCCAAAAGCACTTTCTACCCTTCTCCATGCTGTCTTTTTTCTTGGGAGGCTGGCCTGTAAGAACCACATCAATAGCCTTTTTTGCCCTACGGCTTTGAGCTTTGTTTGACCAAAGAGAATTACCAGCAGATTAAGTATTTTTCTCCTGTTCTTCTCCCTGCAAGATTACTTGGGCTAACTTAGTTGTTCAACAAGGTCACCAGTCCTCTCAGGGTAGCCCACTATACATGCCTCACTCCTGGGTTCTGTTAACTACAAGAGGTCAGATCCTACTAGCTGGGTTACTGTGTGGTTTGTGATTACCTATGTCTATGCTTTTTGTAAGTAATCCCTTTGTAAATAAGCTATCTCCCAATTTTTATCAAGTGCCATCTATTTCTTATTGGATCTCCAACTAATGTTATAATCATCCAGAAGCCTGCAAGGAAGTATATTCTTGACAGTAAGCTGCCAGACTGAGAGCCTATCATATGTGCCTTTTTAAACATTTGGCTCCCCTATCAACCTTTTTCCCTTCCAACATGAACTAAACAAACTTTGTGAAGTAGTCTTTTAACTCCATTGTCCTTCTACTTTGCTTCCATTCATCCTCTCCACCCATCCCTTTCCTCAACACACACACATACATATGCACACACATACGCATATACAAATACTGAAACCTCCATTTTCTGCCTAGATAAAAGACAGTGTAAATCATGCTTCTGTATGATTTGCTAAAATTACTTTATTACATATGGAGAATTTAAGGGGAATTCAGTAAAGAAAATAACAAAGAATCCAGATACAGGGAAATATATTGAGATCATGAGATTCTGACCCAAATCAAACAATATCACCCTAATAGATCTTAGGCCAGGATAGCTTCCAAGGAAAGAACAGATTCCTGCTGAACTCTAGCTTCTGAATTGAATGAGAGACTGGAAATATTTGTTTTTAATTGCAATTGCCATAAGAGATTTGCTTTGGGAGACAGTTCGTGGTCAGATTTTCCCTGAAGTCTCTTAATCTGGCTTTCTTCAAGCATTTGCAGAATTTCTTTTTGGATCCTGGTTCCGTCCCCTACCTCAGAGTTTCTCTTAGTGTCCATCTATTACATAAACAAACAGAACAATTTATACCAAAACTCAGCCTTGATGAAGAAAAGAAGGCTACTGTGACAAAACAGTCTTTTTAGAAACTGGAATATGAAGACTGCAAAAGGAAAAAGCCCAGTACTGAAACAACTTTTAGTTTCACCCTCCTGTGGGTGAAACCCTAGGAATCAAAAAAAGTTAGAGTGAGAAGCAAAATGGCCTTCAACTAATAGTTTGTCAACTGTCAGGTTTTCCACCCACATGGCTGCCCAGTACTCCTGTGGAAAAATCAGTGATATGATCTAGAAAGAGGAAGCCATAAATTTCTTTTTTAAATTCAATTTATTGTTGTCAACAACTCCCCAAGACAATATAAATATTTTCTACTTGAAGACCCCTAATAAATGGATGCCTAAGAAACATTAGGATAATGATTTCAGAGGAGTGGAAGGTGAAAAATCATAACCAAAGTCTAGCATGGAGAAAACCATGAAAGCATTTGGAAGTAGTACTTCTCACTGACAATCAAGTAAAATCAAGAGCATTGCAATAGATGTAATACAAATCAAATCCTGATTCAGCACAGTGTGGAATACTATCTAAATTAATTCACTAGAAGTTTACTGAACAGTTAGAATCTAACATTAATGAATATATTCATTAATCCAGTTATGTGTAATATCCAGTTCTATATAATAAAAATATTTTTCCATGTCATAGCTAACAGTCTAAACTTAGTACTCTTTGATACTTCTTTGAAATTGTGGGCATGGCAAATTGATTCCATTTAATGAGAAATACTATATAACATAAGATTCATAATTCCTTGCCTAATAGTCAACGTTTTTGACAGGAGACAGGATAATATATTATATACAAAATATAGCACCAGTAGTTGAATTCCTGTGAAGTGTCAACTATTTTAACTCAAATTTGACATATGTTTCAAAATGTTTGGAGTATAATTCATTGATTTTTAAAAAGATGGCACTTCCTGGTAAGCAGCAGCTCAGAGTAGAAAGAGCACTGGACCTGGAGTCAGATGCAATGCAGGTTGTTTTTTCTAAATGCTCTCTAATATCCTTTCAAGATCTATGGTCTATTATCTTTGGTATTGAATCTTGAGAGTGTGGGGACATTTATAAATTGTCTTTAGTTGTGGTCTTTCATTTTCTTTTTAAAGGTTAGTTTTGAAAATTGAACTTGTTAAAAAAATGGGCTGGAAAGAAAGTTTCATTGCTTTTTGTATTTTCCACATATGTTGTCATGTATATTTTCTAATTATTTGTTAAAAGTGGTCAGTCACCCTCTACTCTGTTGATAAGACATTGGAATGTGTCTGGGAAGAAGATTCCAAAGAGCAATAGCAGTCCATTCTGCCATAAAGCCAAGAGAAGAACACTATGTTAGGGACTAGATTGGTATAGTGTGTTTACATAACTGGCTGAAATTCCCAAGATTAAATAGCTTAGAATGTCTTATGTGAATTTACTTAACCAAATGTTGCTTTTTTTCCCCTCAGCTTTTCTTCTTTCCAACTTTACATGTTTATTTCTCCACATCAGTGTCTGACCAGTAGAAACCACACGACTCTCCATATTTGCTTCTCTTTTATATCCAATATTGATCAACAATGTCACCATCTCACTGGTTTTAGTGAAGCTCAAAACCTTGGGGTCATTGTTTATTCCTCCCTCTTTCCATTCCGTAGTCTTGTCCCTCTTCAACCCACCCTTCACAATTATGATTGCCAAAGTGCTTTTTCTAAAATGTAAATGTGATCAAAGGGCTTCCATTACCAAAATGCTTTAAAGACTCCTCTTCACCTACTGAATAAAACTCAAAGTCCTCAAATACCTGTTTAGCCCAGTCTCCCAACACTTTCTATCATTCCTCTGAGTTCTTTATACTCCAGTTATATGAACTGCTCACAGTTAACAAAACACATGATGATCTTTTCATAATTGTGGCTTTGCATGTGAAATGTCCTCTGCTACTTTCTCAGTTGGAGATAGCTATTTCCCCTCATCATGTTCCCCATAGCATTTCTACATACTAGTTATAGCTCTTGTCATACTATATCATAGTATGACACTTGATCACTTGTTCACTACCAGCCTAACAGTTCCATGTTTGGAGAGAAAGTAAGCACTATAGAAGAGATTCAGATTCTGGCTTCTAAGAGGCATTTAAGTTTGCTTTGGACCCTGAGACACTGCTATTCTCTGATGCTTGCCTTCTCTCTTTGTCCCAGCCCTCCACCTGGTGGAGGTGTTAAGAAGCAATGGAATGGTCACATGGCCAGAGATAAGAGAAAGCAATTTGGCTGATTCACAACCTGGATAAACATCTGCCTCATGTCATATTTAAAGTAAATGCAAAACTGGCCAATGAGCCTTGGCTTCAGGGTAGCCTAGCAGGAGCTTTCTGTCGTGCCATGTTTTCGTTGGCAAACCCTATTCTGAATCTCAAGGCTATAGCTGGGGGTCAACATACCATCCCTGATGGTCTCAAAGAAAATCAACTACTGTCAAGCAAATAGCCCAAGAAGAATTGGCCAATGGAGAACTTTCATGTTTTCTCTTCTTTCTGAAGCTGAGACAAACCTTTTTGTAGGTATGTTTGCCTTTGGATCATTATATCATGGAGCAAGGAATCAACCATCAATCACACCCATATGCTAAGTATTCTCCACAGTTGCACTGGGACCCATCTCATAAAAAGTCATACAGAATGTCTTCATCTGTATCCCAGAACAATAACCAGTTAGCACTGTTTTTTTGTCTCAGTTGAATAATACCTTGTCTTTGAATCGGTATTTAGTTGCCTGTGGGAGGCAGCCAATTTTTCAAGCTCCCTGGATATAAAGTACTATAGAAAGAGTGACCCTAGATGTAGTCTGGGTTGGTGTGAGTGGAGATTCCCAAGGGACAACCTTTCCAGGCAGTTTTTTAAGAGGAGGAGTTTAGATTATCAGCCTGGTTGGAAGGAATCTTACCTCTAACCAGAAATTTTTAAAATTTTTAAATTTTAGAAAACATGTTGAATTTATAAGCATCATATACATTCTCCTGACCATGGCTATTGTGAATTTTACCAGATACTATGTTTATACTATAGTAAGCCTTCTAGAAGCAAGGATGGGTCTAGTTTTAAGTAAAGGGAAAGGAAATTAATATAATCTTTTTGTCATCAGGAGAGACTACCTTTAAAAAAATCAGACGGGTCCCGCAATATCACTTCATACATATGTCAAAGGCAAGGAAAGATGATCTTCTGACTGAGGCGTTCATCTGAATGTATCCTAAGTTAAGTAAAGGAACCCAGGTGCTACCAGAATAACATGAAATAAAACAGAAACAGAAGTGGTAGGAGTGGCGCTCTGAAATTCTTAGGTTTCTATGTTCAAGGTAAAGATGACCCTACCAATAAAACGATCATTGATGACATCATTTATGATGCCTTTGCCCTTCAGCTGGCATTGCACAGGCACCACCTGGTTCTTCACCACATCTGTAAAGTGCATTGCCACCAGAGGGGAGGTGTAGTTAACCTGTAGGTGAGAAGACAATGAATTCTAAGTGGGTGAAAATGGCAGTAGGGAATGATCAGATATTCAGTTTAGTATAGGATAACCTCCACAAAGGAAACTGAACTGAGTAAATCTCATGATGCCAAGTCACAAATGACCACAGCAACCACATGCTGTCTCTGCTTGGGGAAAGTGTGGAGAAATTACAAATTTCTCATAAATCACTGTCAGATGTCTGACTGTCCTCTGGGGGAAACCAGTTCTTACTCAGAGTGATTTGATTTTCTGGATATCAGACCATGAATCAAGCCAGAACTAGTATCTATGAAGTCCCCACACTGGAAATAAAGCCTTCATTGCCCCAAGGTTTCAAATGGGAGAAGCAGGAAAGTGTGATTATTTGGGCATGATTAAGCACAATGGTAGTGATTTGTCTGCTTATGGCTTTGTCACTAATTAGCTATGTAACCCTGGGCAAGTCAGTGCCTCTCTCTGAACCCCAATTTTCTCATCTGAAAACTGAATGGGGTTAGATCAGACTATATATGAGATTCTTTCAGATGTGGAAGAGCATCTAGTTCTGATAGAAATTTGTAGAAGGAGGCCCTTGTTATGGCTAGTAACTCTTCTTCTGTCTAACTACCTGCTGCTCCCTAATTCTCATAAATCCAGAGCATTTCTTCCTTTGTCTCTGAGACCTTTTGACAGCAAAGAAAGAAGGGGATACAGCTTACGTGAGTCAGTTTGCCATAGTAAGGGTAATAGCGGAGGTCAAAAGAAGCTGACTCTGGGTAGTAACTGATGGATCGAATGTCGTTTTCATCACCTCTCTGCAAGCAAAAGCAGGTATATGTGGGTTATACAGTGATTTGGAGTCTGAGTTAAAGCAACTTGTAACCCAAGTGAAATCACAGTGTGACCCATAATCAACTGTCCCACGAAGACCACAAAAGCAGAATGGGGCAGAGCTCAGCCTTGACCTATCCCCAAAGGAGCACTTTCAGGGAGTTAAGTGGCTTTTCAGTTCAAAGAATACTGAAGAGAAAGGCTGGGCTGAGGAGGCCAAAGGTGCTCAGTATGGCTCTGTTCTGGTTTCTCTGGGATCCAGGCAGAAAAGCTCCACAGGGCTTTCAGTACTTGGTGCTGCTCTGGGAAGAGGGTCTATCACTCTAGCCCTTCTTCAAAGAATCATACTAGGCCTGGCACCCAGTCTTAGGCTTTGAAGCTGAGACAGGTATGAATTAGAACACATTTATTAAATCCTACTTCACAACTTGGACACTGCAGGCTTGGTTCTATTGGAAGTTGGAACAGATATGAAGGAACCTGGTGTATAGTTAAATGGTCTATAGTTAGCTCACCTAAACTCATGTCTCTCATCACATTCTCTGCAGTGTTTAATTATAGTAAGTGGAGTCAGCAAAGTAATGAAGAAAGACCCAAGTAATGGAAATGATTAAACAAGGTTACTACCATCCCATCATGCCAGATAGGGGACTGCCCATTTTGCTTATGCACTAACCTTGCCCTAAACAGCAGAGGTCTGGGGGCAATATGGACAAATAGTGCATTACTACTAGCCAATTACTCCACAGGTTCATGTTATTACTTCTGTCATAAATTATAATTGTTTTAGGTACAAGTTGAGCTCCCTATAATTTACTCTAGTTATTGCCTCATTCTGCTTGATTTTCACAGGTGGGTGTGGGCTTCACCAGTATTCATTATTATAGAATATATACAGACTCTTAATATGTCTTTTTTTTAGATAAAAATGATAGTTCTCCCGAGGTTCAATGTAAGTTGAAAAAGGAACATCTTACATTAAAGAACTACAAGCAGAGCTTAGTCCAATTGACATGTTAGTTTAAGGGCTGGGATGTGTCTCAGTGATAGAGTACTTGCCTATCATGCACAAGGCCCTCAGTTCCATCCCAGAACTGCAAAAAGTGCTACTTTAAGACTGAGTTGATCTTTATGATTTCTTTATATCTTCTAAAAATGACATTTATCTTTCACAAATGACTGTGGAATCAATTCCACTAGTTTGTAGTCACACGTCACATATGTGACTGTTTACACATACACATATACTTGTGAACACAGTGAATGTCCTTCCTACCTTGTTCCCCTGGTAAATACTACTTGACCTTTTAAAGCTCATCTTCGCAAGCATCACCTCCCACATAGAACTGATTTATCTCTCTTTAATGCCCCCACTGTACTTTTCATTGTGCCTTAATACTTCATTGCCCTGATTTTAGTCAGTCATATTTATATCAGCACCCCAACACCTAGCAAAGTACCTAGTATATAATAAGTGATCAATAAAGACTTGCTGAGTGAAGAATATTGCCTGAATAAATGCTTTTTTGCAGCTTTCTGATTTTCTACCACGAAGACTATAGTTTTGAGCTTTATTTCTAGTACTGACAAAGGAATTACCTGGTCTCACATACTTGCAAAACAACTGTCCAGAGCTAGGGGGTGCAGTTGATGTCATTGAACAGGAAAGAGCTACTGCCTATTTAAGCAAATTCAAGATCTAGGGCTTTTTCCTACAAAGGAGCTAATTGGTGCAGATGAGATAGGAGTTAATGGTTCCTCGTAGGACAGTTAATTAGCATATTAATGGAGCTCTGTTTATACTTCCCTTGTAGTCATTTGTTATTACAACACCCAGTGCTACTGGTCATTGCTGCAAAATGTGAAATTCAGTTTGAAAATCAGGGACTAATGACTCTAATGAAAGCTGTTTGTTTAGTTCAAAGAAACAAGTAATTAGAGCTAAAAGGAAAAGTATAAACAGAATCCCAATTAATGATTTGGCACATTGTTGTTTCCTGCTGTGGCCCCTAGCTGAGGTTCAGTCTTTGGCTTTCACAGGTGTAAATCATGCCATGTGCACACACACACACACACACACACACACACACACACACTCACAAAATGAATGTTTTCTGGAAGTAGGAAGGCCTGAAGGCACTAAAGTAAGTATAGTTATGAAAAGAATTAATGCTTTCCCTGTCTTATCATCCATGTGTAAGTCTTTGGAAGGGATGAACTACATTTTTGCATGAAACATCAATACTAACAGCGCTTACTCAAAATAACAGTTTACCTGAACTTTGCAGGAAACCTTCACAGGATCTCCAAGCTCAGGACAAAAGCCTACAATCTAGCAAAAGAAAACCAGTGTTTAAAAAAATGACAATAAAATTTTTCTCACACCCCCTTTGAATCATCCTTCCTCAGGCATAAACTTCATTGATTTTGCTCTCTCAGAAATGTTACAAACAGAAAATGTAAAACAAAATCAAAATTGTGCAACCCAGTTTACTCCTTGTTATATTGGTATCTTGTGTCTTGATACAACAACTGCAGCAAGATAACCCTAAAGATGTAAAGAACTTTTTGGTTTCAAGTGGAGTGTGCCTGGTAAAGGTTCTGCCATGCCATTAGTAAGGCATGACAAAAGAGAAGGAAAATGCTCTTGAAAAATAATATAAGCGCTGCCCCTACTACACCCCCATGTCAATCCTCTGTTCCAAAGGGTACAGGACCCCTCCATAACTGAGATTACAGGCATGTACCAACATGCTTAGCTAGGACCCCATTCTTACTAGAGGTCATCAAGTGGTAGGTTTGGGAGTAGGGAAGAAGAATAACAATAGGAAATATTCAGGGAGAAAAAGGAATTGATAGATCTGTCTGACTTTTCACTTTTCTGATGCTGTTAGTAAAAATGGACAAACCTGTCATGTGTAAAGACCAGAGAGCAAAAGAAATGGAGGGTTCACAGCCCTCCTACCCAGCTCACCACTTAACACAATCAGATATCGAAAGCTAATGTACCCGGTTCATCTTCAGCAGGATGCAAGGCTGTCCAGTAGAGTATCCAAAAGTGGGGTCCTCCAGACCAGAGCAGTTCTTCAGGAAGGAGCGCTTAAATTGGCAGGCTTTCTTGTCCTCATCTTCATTTCCATCTTGAATGAAGTACTGCCCTGGGGGGCAATCTACATTCATTTCCTCTTGAAGGCTGTCATTATAGCCTAAAGAATGTGTGGGTGATAAATGATCATGTAAGACAAGTGCTACAGGAGAAGGCCATGTTTTCAGTAGTTCTCCTTCCATAATTTCCCTATCTTCAGCATGTTTGTACACCTATGAAAGTCTGCTCAAACTACCTGAAGCCATGTGCTTAAGGACTTTCATTGGGAGTATCCCTCTAGGAAGCCTTCTTGGCTAGTCACCTGAGCACTCATGATTACCTGCTTTCTTGATTCTCATTCTCTCAGAACTTATGGATGTTCATCTCTGGGTCGTATGTTAATCACCTTAGAACTTTTCTCTATTTTCCATTATTCCTTTTCAGATGGGGTGAACTGTAAGTTTGTAGGAGCTGCCTCTTCTGCTTCTGGGAGAAGAATGGGCATATAGTTGGTAGATTTTGGAAGAGGGACTGAATCATGTCAAGGCATGACATATGTAAGGAAGCTAAGTTCCTAGTTTAAGTCTACTTAAGATCAGTTTAGAATATGTCTACCTTGGAGGTCAATGAGAGGCATCTGATGTAAGAGAGTGAGAGATAGTGTTGTGGAACCAAATGGATGTGAAAGAAGAGGAAGGGAATGAGAAGGAAGAGGAGGAGGAGGAGTAGGTAGAGGAGTAGGAGGAAGAGAAAGAAATAAACCACCTCCTCATCCTTTACAGTGAAAAGTTAGCACTGCAAAATAGGAACTTAGGTTGAAAGATAGAAACCAGTGACAACCATAGGCTCTCCATCAAGAAAGTGATGTGATGAGAGCTTGTCTACTGAGACCAAAGATACTCAGGGTTAGTGTTCCTTAATTTTGAACAGAATGCAAAGGGTTTTCAAGGTACATAGATCATATAGAGAGCTGAAAGGGGATAATTGAGTGTTCATTTTTTTGTACCAGATGCTGTAAAACTCATCTGCAGTTTTGGAAATTACTGCACTATTTTCAACTTGGTTTTAAGTGATGGCACCCAGTCAATTATGATGCACCCAGACATGTATTCATGTTCGAAGTAGCTTCATTTTTCAAAGAAGACTGTACACCTATGACCCACGAGAGGTAAAACTCAAAATGTACTGCTAGACCCATATCTAGACAGGTTGTGACTTGGTTTGATGTTATTAGAGGCAGCTGGGAGTTTAAAATCTGTACCAATCACAGCTATGCCTTTATTATTCCTTTGACAAAGCTACATTCAACTTAAGACCTGTTTTAATCTTTTTTTTTAAAGAACAAGAACTATGCTCAAATAGTAACTTTCTAAATAGAGCCTGCAATCATGTGTTCATTGTTTCCCTTGAGGTAGTTTCATTAAAAATAATGTGACATGGGCATGACCCTTATTGCAAAATCCCAGTCCTCATGTGAATGAAACTGATACTCTGGGATATCTATTTCAGATATGTGTTCCTTTTTAGCAGGACATATTATCTACTCTTAGTAAAAATCCAATGCTTTTCCTAATATTTTCTGCCTCCACTATCAAGTCAGAATTGGTGTTTCTCCATCTACTAGCTTCTTGGGGGAATTTCCTCAGCAGAAATTCTGGCAATATATGTATTTTTAAAAGTTCACAAACATTTTGAAAGAAAGGAAGATACTGTGCTGGCTATGGTGCCCAAAATATTTTTGTAGCCAAAAATGCAACTACATGGATCAGAAAGAACCCAGCTCCCCCATTTTACAGGTAAGGAATCTGAAACTCAATTTTACCAAAAATAGCACTGAACATTACTGATTTAAAGCTGAATTTGTAATTCCTGCTTAGAAGACCACAACATGATAGCACTTCTCAAACTTTAAAGTTCATATAAATCACCTGCAGAGTTTGTTAAAAGGCACATTCTGATTTGATAGCTTTGGGGTAGGGCCTGAGATTCTGCCTTTCTAACAAACTCCCAGGTAATACCCATGCTGTAGGTCCCTGGATAATGCAAGGGAGTCAAAACATGTTAATTCAAACACTGGTTCTGCTGCCAGAGTTTGATCAAGTTACTTCACTTTTCTGAATACCAGTTCCCTTATTTGTAAAATGAGGACAGTGGACTCTATCATGCTGGTTAAAGTTAAATGACAAAATTTATGTACTTAAATAACACTTCCTGCTACCCTCACCCCTCTACATGAGTCAGGCCAGGACAACCAAACCATCTGGCTTGCTTTTTTTCCATGAAGATTAGGTGTAGCAATGCAAAACCCCATGGGGGAAACCTCTTTTTTTTCTTAAACAGGATCTCACTATGTTGTCCAGGCTTGTCTCCAACTCCTAAGCTCAAGTGATTCTCCTGCCTCAGTCTCCCAAGTGCTGGTATTATTGGCATGTGCCATCATGCCTGGCTGGAGGCTCTTCTTTGATAGCTGGAAAAATACAGAATCTGTGTGCTTTAGGTTTAACCATAACCAAGCTGCTACTATCTCAGCTTTTGCTATGTGGAATGATCTCCCACAAAGTCATTCATTTGTCCTTGAAATGTATCTGATAACACTATAGAAACAGCCATCTCTATAGCATTTTATTGAGATGAAACTGTTGAAGTAATACTACCCAGAGATTAGTCTTCTGACTCCTTTCTGGAATGTTGTTATACAAAGGTACTTGCTTTCTCCCTTCAAGATAGCTCATCTGCAAGAAATAAATTGTTTTACCTTAAGAAAGTATAGGAGGCAGGAATCTTCCAGTTCTCCTTTACTCATAATTATGTTCCCACAGAATTATCTGTTATAAGTGATCACTTATAAAGGAGATCACTGGGATGTACTCAGGATTTAACTAGGTGCTGTAGGGTGTTCAGGAAGAGAAAACAAGTTCTGTGCCTCAAAGAGCTTACTGTAGAGTTAGCTGGTATTCTTTCAAGGCAGCACACAATCACACACTAGAGCATTTTTGATTATATGAAGGGGGCTTAGGGGAGTGCAAAGTAAGGAAAGACCATGATGGGTTGGGGTTACTAAGACAGATTTCTAGGCCAGATGAATTTTGAATTTTGAGTTCCCACCCATCTCCTTTCAAAAGAGCTTTTTCATTATTCAGAGGAACTTACCCTGGAGAAAGCCATTTAGGCTAATCACATAATGTTGCCAAGTGTCAGGTTCAGAAACGTTGAAGTTGAAGTTAAGGCTGTGAGCGAAGGGTCTGATCATAACTCCTGGCAATGAGAACAGGTCTTGGATATATTAACCCATTCTTGGATTTTTTTTTGTATTGATTCCCATGAAACCATTTCCCCCCAGGCAATCAAAATGAAAAGGATCATAATTTGCCAAGTATCATTTTACTTTTACTCTTAATAATTGAATTTCTAAGTCATTACCGGAAAGGACCAAAGTTAATTGAGGCCAAACATGCTGTGCAAGCAGATTGCTGTCCAGTGAGTTCTGACAACACAGGGCATTTGGGTACACTCACCAGGAGGCTTCACTCGCTCAGTGAACGTCGGCATGTAAGGATTGATGGTCAGAAAGAGCATGTACATACACAGGGTGACCACAGCAGCCAGGGAGGCATAGAAGAAGAAGTAAATGACTAAAATCAGGCCTGCAGAGCAATAAAAAATGACAGTGGTCAGTGCTTGCCTGCAAGCCCTACCTCCCCACTGAACTCATGAACCAGAACCAACCCAGACATGAGATGGCTTTTTCAATTCCCCAGATTCGGTATATCCTTGCTTATTCAGATTTCATCAATCTGGGATTGGTGAGGATTGTGTTGTGGGCTGATTGAGGTTTACCTTTACATCATTTCTGATGGAAGGGCTTGCTGAGCACATGATGACCATGAACAAGATTACAGGGGAGTGGAGTTTAAAGTACTGCAGAAGGCAAATTGCTTGAGAATCATTTGGGTAACAGTTGATGTCCTAAGCACAAATCATTCTTCTCTATTCGTTAAGGCAGATGCCCTGAAGAGTCCTAGCAGCTTGGTTGCAGTGATTATATGTATTTGCAAGTGATGAAAACAGCATTTCTTTTTCACATAATCTATAATTCCAACTTTTGATTAATTTCCACTGGACTTGCCTCTAATCAAGGCAAAGCAAGGTTTTACCCTACTTATCTCAAATCTTATTTATCTTTAGCAAAGTTTAAGTTGCTCTGCTTTTCAAAGAAAACACTGATGCAGGGCAGGGGAGGGAGGCAGGAGGAAATGTTACTTCATCACTGACACTTGCTGTTTGTAAACTTGGGCAATTTACAGAATGTCTGCCTGATTGCTCATAGGTAAATGAGAATAAGTTTAGCACCTCCATAATATCCTTATCTATATCCCTAACAATATCTGAAATTCAAACTGTTCTTATATCTTGTTCTAACTGTACCACTTTCTAGGTTCTTAATCTTGGACATGCTGTTTGTCACTCTGGGCCTCAATTTCCTCATCTGGAAAATAAGGACAATAGTACTACTTATTTCTTCATTAAATAATACATATGAACACAATAGCACAGCGCCTGGCAGATACTAAGTGCTCTATAAATGACAGCCATCATTAATATTATTGTTATTATTATTATTATTATCATTATTAGGATCAGAAGCACAGTTGTATGAATTGCCCCTCTGTGAACTGTATTAGGACTAGGTTTACCCCAGGATTAGGCAGCAGAGAGGTGAGTGAGCATGAAATAGCTGCTGAGAAGCTCTTTTCAAGACCTCCTTAGGGACCTCTCAGGCCACAATATTTGGCTTCCCTCAGAGTGGTGAGATGATGCTGGAACTAGAGATTTGAACTGAATCATGAACCAGAAACCAGAACAAACCACATAACTTTGCTGTGCCAAAAACAATTCAAGTATTAATTTTTAAATTGAACCATGAACCAAATAAAATTAACAGAGAGAGAGAGATATGTAGTGATCCAAGTAGAAATGGAACTGACTCATTATGTTTTAGAAGATGAACTAACACAGAACTGGAACATAAGCACATGGATTCAGCTGGAGTCCCTGAAGAAGAAAAAACAGTGCCTATGTGCTTGTCATCTGTGATTTTCAGCTATTGCCCACTGGCTATCCTAATGGAATGTACTCTGTGCTTCCTTCTCCATTCCTCCAACCCCATCCCTGTCCTGGGAATAGATCAACATCTAAAAGACTCAATTTCATGCATGAAAGGGGAAGAAATGGAACACAGGTGTATTCCTTTGGGAATATCTTCTTTCTCAGGATGTATGTCCAGGATGGGAGAATGGCACTAGCAATAAGTCCCCTCAGCCTCACCCAGGAAGGGATGCCCTGGGCCCTGTGATAACCTAATTATCTTACCTCTGCCCAGGTAAAACCAAGCATGGTCCCCATTTGAACTCATTTATCCCTCCAACCCTTTTAGCTCCAGATATTCAGGTTTTGCTTGGGGCTTTCCTCTAGGTAATTTAGGGTTCTCTTCTGTATGCTCCCCACCCCAGACCACTTATTTAAGTACTTAGATAAGTACTCATGCTCCCAACTCTTCACCCCTTCCACCAAAACAGCCCATCCAGCAGTCCTGAGGTCTTACACATCAGGGCCTTACTCATTGTTGGAATTCATACAGATTGTGAGATACTCCAGCAAGAGAATACACTCTGGTGTTTGAATCCCAGCACTGCAACTTAGTTATTGTGGGACTTTAGACAAGTTACTTACCCTCTCTAAGCCTCAGTTTCTGCATCTGTAAAATGGGGATAATAATATTACTACCTCATATGGTTCTTGTTAGTATCCAATAAAATAACCTAAAGTTCCTAAGAACAGGGGTTGCCCAGCTACCAAAGAAAAGGTCCAGGGTATATTAATAGGCTGGGTAAATAGGTTGAACATGTTGATGTCCAGGTTGGAACAGAGTTAGCAAATGCTCAAGTGGTCACCTAGCTGTCAGAAAAGAGGGCAGCAAGGCATGTGCTTTATGGCCTAGGCACTCATATTACCATTTGCCCTTTGCCCAGGAGTAGTCCAACAGACAAAGCCTGAATTGCTGGGCTCTTCTTAGACCTGCTAACCAGGGATCTGGCTATGGCCTACCATGTAGTGCTCCCACTATCATATCTTCCCCAGGTACTTGAAACTTCTTCCCTCATCCCCATTAATTGTCTATGGATTGCCATCTACCAGAGTAATTTAGATGAGCTCATTTGGTGAAGTTCCAATGGCTGGCTGTTTAGGGGTTAAGATATGGTTCCCCCTTCCCAGAATCACACTTTACAAGATCAGAATCATTTACAAGATCTGTTTTTTCCAGTCCTCTTTAGGCAAATATGGAACAGCTGTGCCCCGTTTGGAGCACCCCCCCACCCCTAGTGAGTGCCCAGCATTTGTCTGCAGCGTCTAGAATGTTGGAATGTCCCTTAAATGGTACATTTGTTCCAGTTGAGAGTTTGACGGATGGGCAAGGGTGGGGCTGGGAACTGAGGAGGGGTTCTGGGAGATGGGTGTTGTTTAGAGCCCCACACCTGCTATTCCTAATTCCAGGAAGTAGGGCTAGCTATTTCACCCTGATGGAGCTAAATTAGCAGCATTAACTATGAAGGACAGAATTCTAAGCCAAAGGGATCTTTTGAAAGCTTGGTCATCAGCTTCCACAACCTAGACCTTGGCAGTAGGAAACTCTTATTTCATCCATGATGTCGTCTCTTTTTCTTCTGTGGATTAACTGAATTAAAAATCAGCAGCTGCTCTTTTTCTGGGATGTGCAGAGTATAGCAAGTGTGAATTTTACTACAGGCAAAATCTCCAGAAGAGACCTAGCACTAATAGTTTAAGAAGTGGGTAGAACCCTGGGAAAGGAAAAGTAGGGAACTTGTGAAGTAAAAATGGTGGCAGCAGTGGCACAAAGAAGAAAATCTAAGGAACAAAACTCTGCCATCCATTAAGCAACAAGGAAGTTCAGCCTTAATCTCCAGTAATGATCTTTTTAAACCCAATTCCTTTGTGTCTACCATGGGGGAATAAAAAGCACCCACAAACAGGCCAGGGACAGGCTTTTGGGCTCTCGTCTGAAATTACTAGGTGAAGTGATAAGGCTTTGTTAACCCTTGGTCAGGTTAGCAGGGTCTTGTGTCTCATACCCCAGAAAGGGACTTCTGCAGAGTACTTTTAACCTTACATTTTAAACATCTTATTGGAGCCTCATGCTGATCCTGTGAGAGAGGGAAGGCAGGGATTTTCCCCTCTTTTTGCAGGTGCGGTGGCTGGATAGAAAGTGACAAAGCTGAGACTTAAAAAAAAAATCTGTGTTTTTGAGCTTATCCTGTCTCTCTACATTGCATACAAAGCCAAGTGGATTTCAGTTATACAATCGAGATTGTTCATCTGTTTGGGGATTGTCTTGATGGGTCTGTTCACAGTCCAGGCATTTCCCTAGGCACTGATGCCTTTATGTGAAATGTTAAGAGAAGTTTGCAAACAAGCCCATCCAGTGTATGGTAAAGGAGCCCTGGACACCGCACCAAAAGCAAAGGACACCAGACTGGGGCATTGGGATGAATGGGACTTACTCCAACTCTGACCTGTTTGGGCCAGAGACATCCTTCTCTCTGGATCCCACAGGTATTCATTCATGAGCTGCAATTTCTGCCACCAGGCATTGCCTGTTGGCCGACCCTGACCCTCTTCCTCCTTCTTTTCCTCCTCCCCCTTCTCTTCCTCCTGCTCTTCTTTCTCCTCCTCATCTTCCTCTTCCTCCAAATCAGGCGTCAACACCACCCGAGCCTCTTCTTCTGCTTCCTCCTCTTCATCAGCTAAGTAGTTCTGATTCACTTCATCCTGATCATCCTGGAACGGTGACAAAACACAATCCATTTTTTGAAAAAACTTTTCAATGGCATCCCACCAGCCAAAAATAAATGGAAACAACACAATATTGAAAGATGCATCAAATTTCCCCTTCCCTATAAACATACACATTATTACAAGAAGTGAATTTTCTTTCTCTCTGTTCTTTTGGAGGAAATATCCTTTCTATGACCCATATTGAACTGGTATTCTTTTGATAGAGGTGCAGATTTTATTTTCAGCTTTAGGCATTTGGGCTCTTCCTCGTGACATCTCATTCCACTTCTCTGTCCTGGGGCCTTGGCCTCCCACTTAACTTTGACCTGAGCTCACAGTGGAGGACAGAGTAGTCTTAAACATTTATGCCTATGATGACAAATTCCTAGTTCAAGCCAGCTTGTGCTAACACTCTGTATACTTTCAGCTGCTCAACCTCGCCATCCCAAGTAATGCCTAAAAATAGCCTGGGACAGACATTAGGAGGAGAAGCCAACTGCTACACCCTTCCTCAAAACTTAGATTGCCTCCCAAACAGTCAGGAACTTATTTTCTGCTTGCTGCCTTATGCTGCATGGACAGATCACCTGACAGGTGGGACTCCACCTTATCCTTCCTTAGTGCCCCCTGTACCCTGGGCAAAAAACTGGGCACATAGTAAATGTTCAGCACATTGATTGACTGCAGTGATTACTTGAGATTTTAAACTAATCTTCCGATAGTTCTAAGAAAATTAAACCAAAAAAAGAAGAAAGAAAAAAGCCCAGAATCCACCAACTGGTGTTTCAAATGCCTCCCAGCCACAGGCTGGAGAGCTATAAAATTGCTCTTTGGGAGTCTGCCAAAGCTCACTGCAGCAGCAGAAAATGAGGCCACCCTCTCTCCTCTCTGATTCCAAGTCTGAAGAGTGTTGGGGCCTCTGCACCTGTTGGGGTTAGATGAGTCAAATGCTAGAGGCCAGGGGTCTGTGCTGCCACCTTCCTGCCCAATTCTTCAAAGGCCACTTACAGGGCACTCAGCTAAAAATGCTGGCTTTGGTGGAGAGTTCAGCAATTTAGATTGCTCAGAATCAGTAAAAGTGATACAAAATGACAAAGCCCTACTCTCAGCATTTAGCCTGCCCAGCATTATCTAGCTCTTGAATGTAAGCATTCTCAAATTACTCTCTAATTTGTTTAAATGTACAGCTCTATATCACACACCATATCAGAACTGGCAGGGACTTTAAAGATTTGCTTGTCCTAGGGGGAGAGCACATAAGGGAGGTATGGGAATAGGTATAAAACCCAAAATATGAAAGCATTTGATGTCCCCATTCCAGAGGAACTAATACAGAAAACTTAAAGCGACAGAAGTTAACATGAGAAGGGGATCAGGAACCAGTGTAAAGATTGGTTAGAGATGAATCAATTTGGGTTGTAACACATTTGTACTTGGAAGCAATGCTAGGAATCTCTCTGTAGAGCTATCCTTAACTCAACTAGCAAAAACGCTTTGTCTTCCTTATTAATGCTTATGTCTTCTCTTCAATAAAATTAGAGATAAGGGCAGAACAGATTCTGTCTGGAAGTGAGGGGGAAGGGGGGAGAGGGTGAGGGAGGGGGGCAGGG